AGAAATGGATCAGAGACCTAAATGTGAAACCTCAAACCATAAGAACCTTAGAAAAGGAAGGAAATACTCTCATGGAAATCGGAACTGGCATCCAATTCCTGTACAAAACCCGAAACCCACAGGACTTAAGAGAGAAGATAGACAAATGGGACCTTATTAAACTGACAAGCTTCTGCAAAGCCAAAGAAACCATCAAGAGAGCAGGGAGACAGCCTACAGACTGGGAAAAAGTATTTTCCAACTCTAGGTCTGACAAAGGCTTAACGTCCTGGATCTACAAGGAACTGAAGCGTACTGAAAAGAAGAAAACAAACAACCCCATTATAAAATGGGCAAAAGACATGAACAGACACTTCACAAAAGAAGACATTCGAGCAGCCAACAAACACATGAAGAAATGCTCAACCTCACTAATCATCAGGGAGATGCAAATCAAAACCACACTGAGATACCACCTAACTCCAGTCAGAATGGCAATTATCAACAACTCAAAAAATAACAGCTGCTGGAGAGGGTGTGGTGAAAAGGGAACACTTCTACACTGTTGGTGGGAGTGTAAACTAGTGCAACCTCTGTGGAAAGCAGTGTGGCGATTCCTAAAAGCTCTAAAAATTGACCTTCCATATGACCCTGCAATCCCCCTACTGGGAATATACCCTGAAGAACACAAATCACTCTATAAAAAAGATACCTGCACACGTATGTTTATCGCAGCGTTGTTCACAATAGCAAGAACATGGAAACAACCATGTTGCCCATCAAAAGAGGACTGAATTAAAAAAATGTGGTACATATACATGATGGAATACTACGCAGCCATAAAAAAGAACAAAATCATGAATTTCGCAGCAACCTGGATGGAACTAGAGTCTATAATACTGAGTGACCTCTCACAGAAAACAAAGATCCGAGTATCACATGTTCTCACTCTTATAATGGACCTTTAAACATCCAATGCAATACTATAAGAAAATGACTGACGGTACTGGGAAACTATGGGGGGGAGGGGGATGGGATTAACAGTAGCAAATATCTGTCTGGGGCTGGGAAAACACCTCTTATCAACAGGGTGCCTGAATGAAACATAATTGTACACCTAACCCTTAACTGTACTCCACAAAACCATAATAAAAAATACTGATTATAAAAAAAAAAAAAAAAGAAAATCGTTCTCACCTGGAGGAGCTTCCCCCTGTATGTCAGGGTCATTGAGTGACCAATGGAGGCCTGCAGCACTCTGGGGCCTTAAGTCCCTCTGTACTGCTCTGGGCTGAGAAGCAACCTTCCTTCTGAGCTTGGTCAGTCCATGTGGGGCTTCTTGCGACCTTGTCTGTTCTGACTCATTCTGACTCTACAGGTGCTGCTTCACATGACACCCAGTGGATGCTCAGAAATGTGTATTTGTTTGGTCTAAAATGAGGAATGAGAATTGTTCACCATATTCCTTTTTGTACACTTCTGTTTGAGCAGCTCTGACATGAGACTTGTTTCCTAATATACTGCTCCCATAAAAAGTGGGCAGTAGAACAAGAGGCAGCCTACCTGTGAGCCAGGTGTGACTGAAGGTTGTGCCCCCTTTTCCCCTTCAACTGAATGAGGAGCCCCTGACTGATGCCAAACCTGAGGGATCCATCTCAGGACGAGAGTAGCCCAGGAAGGTTCCCTCTGCCTGTCATCTCCTGATCTCTGGGTGGCCAGGGTGGAAGGGTTCCTCCTCTCTGATTCCTCTGATCTCACCTTCGTAAGCTATAACATCTCCCTTGAAGGATGAGGAAAGACAATAGACTTGGGCTTTAGTTTATATTGGTTAAACTCTGAAGGCTCTCAACTCTTGTTAACAAACAGATATGCTGATTTCGGGGCTCTCAACTCTTGTTAACAAATAGATATGCTGATTTCAGCCAGGATCTCATCAAGCTCTTTATGGAATTGCACATGAAACCCCTATGGGGTCTCAGGGTCACAGAGATGGGCACAAACCTTTCTTATGTTTACATGTGGATAATGCAGGAGGGCTTGCACTTCTCAGGCCAGAAACAGAGCTGTCACCAATGACAGACAAATCAAAGTATTCCATGTCCAAGCAAGAGATCAGATCTCGCTACACTTTCAGGTTATTTTAAATTCCTCTCTACCTGATAAAATGTTTCACACACTTTTCCTGGTCATGAATACCATGAACATATACCCCCTGAGTCTTGAGAGACCAACAGTTCCACACACCATGTAAAGCTGCCTACAGCTGCTCAGGACACATTTGTACATGGCCTTAGTGATGTGTCAGGCAGTAGGGCCAGGCAGTCTAGAGCCACTAGGTGCACTGTCCATCCCATCCCACACCTGCCGGGGCATGTGACCCACCTCCCTGATCCCTGTTCCATGGGGCCGCACATGGGCTGTGCACCTGCCACATTTGTACAGTGAGGTGGCAACACTCAGTTCTTTGCAAAAATCTTTGTATTTACAGGACTAGAGCTATATATTCTTTGTGAAGAAAAAAATTGTTCAAAAAACAAAGCAAGACAAAAAATCGATTAAGCTTGGTGCACATTCCAGGAAGAATGTCAGGAAGTGAGGTGTGGAGGGGTAACCTCCTCTCTTGGGAATGAGGAATGAGTGTCCAAAGGGGACAAAACCTACCAACTAGACCCACCTCCCCCCCCCACCCCAGGGTTCCAGTGCCCTCAATTTCCTCGACTATGACTTGGCTCATATCTCTGGAAACCCTCGTGCCTGGCATTGTATGCCTGGGAAAGCCTCTCATAGCCAGCATGGGAGATGGATGCGCACAGAAAGGGTGTGGGGGGTGGTTCTGGAAAGAGTGGGAGAAACCCAGTTCCCATCATGGCAGCAGGTGGGACCTAGATGTGGAGCCCAAGCTGTGGTAGGATAGGAAGTGCAGGACAAAGAAAGGGCACAAGGAAGAGCAACTCCGCAGGATGAAGACTTGGAAGGTCAAAGTCATGGGACTTAAAGAATGTCCCCCAAATAATTCTTAAGCACATATATGCAAGCCATTCCATTCAGATCTTAAAAAAAAAAAAGAGTAGTATCACTATCCATTCAAATCAATACTTTAAAACCCAAACTGGGTGTATTTTTAACTTGTACATACCTTTAAAAATTCTATTGAAAAGCATAAATATTATACTTGAGGAGATGAGGAGAAGGTGGAGATCCCTTTAACTTACTATCAAGATGGATTAGGGATGACTGGTTGACCTTGGTCATGTTCTTCCCTGGGGGACCCCTCCTGACGTGGTCAGGGGTTCCTCTTGAGTACCTGTGGTCTACGTGGGTGGTGCCTTGGGTAGTCACCGAGGCACCTGTACACAGGCTGGATGGCAGGATAAACCTCATCTCTGTGGGGATTGTGTTGTCTTCTATAGGGCAAATGACCAACAATGAAGAATTAATTTCTCTAGTTAAATGAAGAAGATTTCCTGAAATTCTTCTTAAATTCTCTCTGTAGGGTATTCAGAAAGAGAAGCCTCATTTCCAGAAGGGGTCTCCCCTACTTCTATGTCACATTCAGAGTTTGGGTAGCCAAGAAATGGAAACCAGGTACAAATAGTACAGGAAATAAGATACTCAAGCATTTCTCTTTGCAAAATATTAAGAAAAGAGACACAGGATTGCGTTCATATTTCAAAGACTTCCTAGACCTAAGATCTCATGTGTCCAAGCCCTAGGTGACAGATGAATTTAGAGTTGTTGGTAGTGGGACACATCCATGCCTAGAATCCAGAGGCCATCAGGGTGCTTGCCTGGCAGGTGCAGTATAAATCCATCTCATCTTGTGGACTGTCTCCCCAGGTGAGGAACTCAGGCTGAGCAGCTAGGAATTCCAACTCATTTGATCATAAACCAAGCCTTGATACACATGTCCAATTCAGCAAATAAAGTCCTGTTAATCTTGAGTGGCTGGTGCCCTAGAGGCTGGGCTATGGGGATGGGAGTGACAAAGGGGTTCTATAGTGTGACCGGGCAGGGGGAGGGATAAGTGGCAGCATCCGAGAGGGAGGTCTCGAGCACCTGGCTGGGAGGTGGTGGCTCCTGGAGCAACAGTTGAGGGAGATGCACTGCCGGATGGGATGATGGCAGATCTCTGGGCTGTGGAGTGCCTGTGCTAGGGTGAGGCAATCCAGGCTATGTCGAGGGCAGATCTTTGAGCTGCAGGATAACTGTGCGTATGGGCGCTGTGAAAGGTCTTGGTTGAGGCGCCTCCCCTGTAGGAAAGAGAAAAAGATAGAAGATCACTGAAATGGCATTTGAATTGGGCCCAGAAGGTTGCTATTGCCTGGCTCAAGGGTGAGGCTCAGAATCCATCAGAACTCACAGGGTGGGCCTTGTTAATGCTCCTCCTTTACCCTGAGGTGCTGGCCTCGAGCAGTGACGCCTCTAACTAGACTCAGTTCAGGCCACCCTGGGTGCTCTGACTCTGGACTTACTCTGCTCTGGGGGTGAACTTGTCTGCTTCCTCCTGAACTCGAACCTTGGGGGGCCAGGAGGAGGCCCCAGTTCCCTCCATAGTCTGTCATTGTCCAGAAGGCTGTGGTGAGTGTACATGGAAGGGATGAGCCCTCACCACAGCCCTCAGGCTCTAGGGCCCTGGGCAAGGGCAAATGAGGGTATCACTGGGTAGATGACAAGACTGTGGAGGCAGCAGCTTCATAGCCCCATTATTTGAGAAAAGAATGATCCAGACCCTTTGAGACAACAAATTCTCTCTCCAGAACCAACTGCTTGGTTCATCTTGGACATACACCAAGGTGACCAACATACAATCTGCTCAGCTTCAAGCCACATAAATACTGTCTTCTCTCCATGCCTTCCTGTGATCCTTTCTCTCTGCTGGATTCTTATATCCATGATTTGAGACAAGCTTGTCTGAAAAGTTGGCCTTTTAAAAAAGCTTTCAGTGTCACCCTAAGTAAGGGCAAAGAGGACTGGGCCTCATTCAGTCTCTGACCTCAGACAAGCCACTCGGCTTCTTCAGAATGATTTTCCCATCTCTAAAATGAAGCTAGCAATACCGAGTGCTGATTGGTCACCACAAGTCCATCCTCCCTGTCTTTCTTAATCACAGAGACTTGATTTTGTTGGGGGAGGCTATGTGCACAGCTGTAAATAACCTTTCCTAGTCACCCTTGCTGAGCAAGGTGGCTATGAATACATTTTGGCAAATAGGATTTGGTGTCCATGCTTTAGAGAAGGTTCCCTTGCCTTTCTTCACTTCTTACTCCCTGGAGAATGGGTTTGATGGTGGGAGCTCCAGAAACCACCAATATGCATAACAGCAAATTAAGAACCTTGCCCATTTAAGGAGAATTGCTAGACTTCCCCCAAGGCTGTTCTCTAGAGGGCTTAGCATGCAGCCAATTATATAAATATCTTGGCAGAGGTTGTTGTATCTACTTGTAATACCTTGCCTTATCTTGTCTGCCCAGTTAACTCTTATCCACCTTTTCAGACTCAGCTCCAGCATCACCTCCTCCATGAAACCCCTTACCCTTTTTCCCAGCTAAAGTGACAGCTGAGTCAGGTGTAGTGACTCATGCCTATAATCCCAGCACTTTGGGAGGCTGAGGTGTGAGGATTGCCTGAGCCTGTAGGTTCGAGAACAGCCTGGGCAACTTGGCAAGACCTCATCTCTATAATAATAACAAAATTAGCCGGACATGGTGGCGTGTGCCTGTAGTTCCAGCTTCTTGAAAGGCTGAGGCAGAAGGATCACTTGAGCCCAGCAGGTGGAGGCTGAGATGGCCAGGAGCGTGTCACTGTCCTCCAGCCTGGGTGACAGAATGAGACTCCAACTCAAAATAAATAAAAAACAAAGTGACAGCCTTGCCTGCTAACTCCAGTTGTGCCCTGCTAGAAGGCTGAGGCTCAATGTGGGAATTACCAATGTCCTTGTAGGTGTGCTCATTCCTCCTCTGCATGCATCAGGACTATAACTGCATAACCTTCAACATTTGTGGCTGGAGACCTGGAAAGAGCTCTAAGGATGCTCATTTGCCTCAACCTCCCAATCTGTGAAGTGGGGCCGACCATGCCCACAGCCCTCAGTCCAACTGTCTAGACAAATGACCAGGAGTTTCTCAAATCATGTTGTAGGATCTAGCCCAGGCCTGACTATTGGTCATCTGCATCTGGTGGCAGTTATCCACTACGATGGATGTGAACAATTCTGGCTTCTCAGCCATCTTGGATATTGTTAGAACACCAGCATGTCTAAGAATCTCTTGTGCTAATGCATGCCAGTTTTCCCTTAGTGCTTGGCTAGGAGAATACTGGAAAGGGGAACCTATGCTACACTTGGACATTCCCTTAGCTTTGCCATAGCATTATCTAGCATTCTTTATAACTGCATTTTTGGACAGTAAATTTTTGCTTTATCCCTATATTTGAGACGAGAAAGGTGAAGCTTGGAGGGGTTGAGCAGCTCAACTTGGTTAAGCCAAGTTCTTCTATGGTCACCCTTGAAAATGCCAGACGTCTCATCCTTCCTTGGTTGCCCCCCATACAGATTCCTGTACCTTCATAATACCAGATCTGGTATGCTTCCTTGTATCAGAGAAAAGGTCAAAAGTATATTCACAGAACCATGCTCATTCATTTGTTCATCAACACAGGCAGAGCTTTGTGTCTGTGAACCCAGATGCAGGACAACTGCTGCTGGAAAGCTTACTCTTTTCAACACTCTGATCTGCAGGGCTGGTGCACATCTGTCTCCCACACTTTGTATGTGTGTGAGACTGAGAACCATCATGAACAGCTTTACCATTGGATTGATGAAGACAGTATTTGATTTCCTGTCTTTTGGTCCGTCAAGTACAAGCTAATCTAGGGAATTTCACTATTTCCTCTGGAAGTCCTCTGATTTTCACTCCATTGATGACTTAAACATTCTTTCTCAGTTTAAATGTCACCCTCTTGATCTTCCCCAAGAAAGTCTTCTCATTTGGTGACAGATTCATGACTTTTAATTCTCTGAACAACATTTGCCACCATCTGACATTTCCCAAAGAAAATGCAAGCCCTGTCATGATAGTGAGACATAGTTTGTCTCATTAACTGTCTTCCCAGAATTTTATGTGGAATGTATTTTTTTGCTAAATTAATATATATGAATAAATCTATGAATATTTTCATTTGCAAATTCCTACTTCTGCTTTTATGCTTACCTAGACCTTTGCTCAAATAAAATATTTGCTTGTATTTTATTCCAGTTATTACTAGTAATGTTTTAAAATATATAATTTTATAAACAGATTGGAATTTATTTTAGTGTGTTGTGAAATACAGCTTCAATCTGAGCTTTTCCCCAATAGCTTTCAAAATTTACAAAATCATTTGTGTCAAATCAAACTAAATTTTGCTTCAGAAAGCCTCTACACTTGCACACTTGAGTTCTCATTTATGGACCATAACCTAACTTGATATGCAAACCAACTGAAAATCTATCTTAGGAGTATGCTTTGTAACAATAACTGAGTCTCAGTCAATCACAGCAGCCAGACTTCAACCATGCACAAGTGGTCAACTGTTCATACCATATTAAAATAAGGCAAATATAGTCAATTCAACTGTTTCTGTATGCTACTTCTTTTTTTTGTATGTCACTTTTCTTTTTTCTCCCTGCAAACCTTATCTGACTATGTAGTAACTCCAGAGTCTCTCTGAATCTGATCTGATTCTGAGGCTTCTTGATTCACATTTTTTTTCTTGCTCAGTTAAACTCTGTTTAGTTTGTCTAAAGATTTTCTTTTATAACATATTTGGTGTCAGAAGTGAGATAAAAAGTAAAATTCCAAGAGGTTGGAGGGGCTTCAAGATGGCTGACTTGAAGCATCTGGTACTTACCACCTCCACAAACAAAAACCAAAATAGCAAATAGATAATCACACTTCTAGTAGACCATCTAATAGAGAACACTGGAATTCAGCAGAGAAATGACAGGAAACAACTTAGGCACGGAAATGGAGGAAAACAAGGCAGCCAGCTCAACTGAGGTTGGCTAGGAACCCAGAGAGACCTTTTTCCAGTATGGGAAAAGGGTAAGTGAGAGATCCAGAGTGGTCCACATTCCCACTGTAGACTCCTGTAACCCTTGCCACAGGAGAACCCTTTGACACTGTGGGCTCTGAGACTGGCGTAGAAAGCTTTCAGGAGACCAGAAAATGGCATTTCTCAGAAGAGGAACCTTACACCAAGCCCCACATTCTGCCTTGGGGACCAATAGCTCCTATATCTCCACATCTCTGGGGGCCCACTGACATCCCCCCACATCCACATAGAAGGCTGCAGTAGTGCAACACTGGTTGGACCTAACAGAGCAACAGGGGTCCCAGCACTCTAGCACACACAGTGCTCTGCACTGGGGAATGGGTGGTGCAGCACACTGGGGAGGAAGCCCATGGGAAAAAGGGAACCATGGTGTGCACTCCTGAGAATCTGAGAATTGCCTTCCTGGGATGGCTATCACAGACAGCAACGTCATTCCCCTACCCCCAACAGTAGGACTGCCATGCACATGCCTTGAGGACAGGGTCTGCTGCTGCCCAACATAGCCTTCACTGCTGCTACTGGGGCCAAAATGTATGTCAATGACAGTGACTTCGCTTCCTTCAGCAGCATGGCCACCATGTACCTGCATGCACCCTATTACCGGCTTTCCCTATTACTGCCACTATTGCTGCTGTCACCACCACCACTGAAAGTGAAAGATCCTGTTCCTTGGAGCCTGAAAACCACCTGTCTAAACTGTAGCCATTGTCAGCAACACTACCTCCCTCATATCAGGGTAATAGAGCACTTGCACGTGCCCTGAGGCCCTACCATTGCGGCTGCTGCAGCCACCTGACAACTCCACCAGGGTGCCTGGGATCACTTCACCCTGCCCACCACAGCCAGTGCCAGAGTGCACCAATGGGGAGCCTGAGGACAGGCCCACCCAGTCTGGCAGTAGTCACCCTAGTGCCCAAGGGCCTGGGGATTGCTCTGTTCTTTCCACTACTGATGGCATTTATACACTTTTCCCAAGGGCCTAATGATGGGCTCACTACCACTACCACCATAACCAGCACCAATCTGGACACACCACTTGGGGACCTGTGTACTGGCCCACTCAGTTCATTTCAGCCATCACTAACACCAACGTGTGCTGCTTTGGAACCTGAGGGTTGTGCTACCATTGTTACTGCCAATGCCCACTTTACACCTGCTG